CTGCCAGAGGAGGACCCCTTGGCCAGGCTGACAGAGCTGGACCTCAGCCAGAACCAGCTGGTGGAGCTGGGGGTGAAGGTGGGCGCTGGGGACATCCTGCCCAGCCTGCAGCTCTTCAACCTCAGCACCAACAGGCTGCAGGCTCTTCCTCCTGGGATTTTCACCCACACCAGGAAGATCACTACCCTGGACCTCAGCTACAACCGGGTTGCCCTCTGTCCCCGGCCAGGTGAGGCCCAGAGTCTCTCCTGTGTGGACATCAGGGGTGTGGAGACCTTGAGCCACCTCTCCTTGGCTGGCTGTGGTCTGCAGGGCATGGGTGGCCGCCCCTTCCAGGGGACATCGCTGATGCACCTGGACCTCTCTGACAACCGCCAGCTGCTCTCCGGGGACCTGGCCTGGCTGCAGGACCTTGTCCTGACCCTGCAGGTGCTGTCTCTGAGGAACACCAGCCTCTCCTCCACCACGGACCTCTCTGCCCTGAGCAGCCTGGTGCGCTTGGACCTTTCTGGGAACTGCCTGGCCACGTTCCCTGCCTGGCTGGGCGCGCTGAGGCTGCGCAGCCTGGACCTGCGGGACAACTGCCTGCCAGCGCTGCCGCGGGACCTGCCACAGCAGGCACCGCTGGGCAGGAGCCTGCGGGAGCTCTACCTCAGCCACAACCCCTACAACTGCTGCACGCTGGGCTGGTGGGACGCCCTGCAGCAGGCGCAGGGGCTGCGTGTCCCCGACGGGCAGGAGGTGACCTGCAGGCACGGCCCCCACGTGCTCAGCCCCAGCGCGCTGCCCCAGCCCGTCCTGCAGAGCTGCCAGTGGCACACGGCCAACATGGAGCTGCTCTACCTGGTGCTGGCTCTGCCCACCTGCCTGACGCTCCTGGTGGCCTTCGTGGTTGTCTTCCTCATGCTCAAGGAGAAGCTGCTGAAAATGGTGAAAAATCGGTGTGGGGTGTCCAGCCCTTACTGATGGCTGAGGAGGAGGAAGGGCTTGGGAAGAGTCAGTAATAGGAGGTGGTCAGGAGTGCAGGTGATAACCCCTCCAAGGTGGTCATGATGGAAAGCTGATGGATGCAGGACAGGAGGTGCTGGGAGAGCTGCCATTTCTGCCCTGATGGTGCCCAAAGGGTGAGGGCTGTGTCTGGTGATGGAGCACTGGGAATCCTCGAGGAACGTGTCTGCAGCAGAAACCTTCAGCTGGTGCCAGTGAGAGCTGAGTGGACACAACATCAAACATTCCTTGGCTGAAAGGACAGGTTGCCCAGAAAAACCTGTGGATGCCCTATCTGTGGAAGTGTTCAAGGCCAGGCTGGAGTCGGCTTGGAACAATATGATAGAGGAAGGTGTTGTAACCAGCTGGGTTTTTAAGGTCATTTCCAACCCAGACCACTCTGAGATTCTGTGACAATTTTCTCCAGTACTGCTTTTCCCCCCACTTTCCAGCAGTTCTTTTTATTTATTCCCACCTGTAGCCAACTCAAAAAGTCTTTCAGCTCTGCAACCAGCCTCCACAAAGTGCTCCAGGCTGGAGCAAACATCACCTGGCCGCTGTGGAGAAGGGTCTCTGTAGCCACAGCTTTCAACACTGCTCTTGCCAGCACCGCAGGCAACCCTGCTTATGCACCATGTGGGTGTGCTGAAAAAGACAGGCATTGTCAGACAGGCATTTTCAGCAGGGCTGAAAGACACATTTTGGGGTGTTGTTTCTCCACTAAGTCACAGTTTGGGCTAGAAAACTCCATTAGAAACAGCCCAAGTTGCAACAACAGGAAATATTGATTGAAAAGCAGGGGAGTAAATTATATCCCTCAGCGATATTTTATCATGGATTTATGTTTCTCCAGTGACTGCTGGATTAAACATACAAAGGAAACAAGAAAAATCCTTCCTCCTTGTTGTGCAAGCCCTGCTCTGGCGGGCAGTGCCCGGGGGTTTCCTCCACCCAGCCCTCCTCACAGCAGCTCTGCTCTGCCAGAGCAGCCAGCACTACCTGGGGAAGTGCTGCTCTGCTCCTCGGGGGTCACTGAGGGGAAAGGGGAAGTGGTGGTGCTTTGTGCAAACTCAAAAGCCCTTCTGAGAACGGGAGTGGCTTTATTCCTGTGGCACTGTTGGGATTTTTCTAGTGAAACATGTTTAATGGGAACGGGGCACAGGGAAGTGTGCAGCAGTGCTGGAGTGCAATTCTGGGGGCTTGTCCTGCCTGGGTGTGGGCTCAGTCAGTGATGTGGGGTGTGCTGGGGATCAAACCTGGTGGAGTTGTCCTGTGAGGTGATGGAGGGAGATGCCCAGGACTGGCCTGAAGCTGGGAGGATGTTTGGGATGGTGAAGGAGGGCAGACAAGGCTGGCAGCAGGACAAACCCATCCCAGGCATAGGGACTGGGCTCATGGGGGAGCCTGGTGTGGCTGCTGGCTCTGCAAGGCTGGAAAATGGATGGGACAGACCCTGCTAGAACCTAGCTAGCAGCTCCACTGGGGCTGAGAGCAGGACAGGCTCTGGAAACCCATCTGTCAGATCTGGCTCAGAAATGACCGCTTTCTGCCCCAATTTTAGACTGAAATAGCCAAAACCAAAGCAGGCCCCAACAGGGGAATCCCTCAGCCTATTTTAACTCTTCTTTTGCCTGTAAGCTGCACCCTGGGGAACAGAGTGACCTATCAATACAACCCTGCACTGTCCCCCAGGTGCATTTCAGCATCTCCCTGCTGGCAGGGTGAGCAGGTGCCCTTGCGAGATCCCCTCTTCCTGGAGCTGGGCTTGGAGAGGGATGTGTGTCCTTCCCCAGCCCCACAGCTGGA